ATGTATCAAAATTCATCTAAAAAATTCTTTCAACTAGTTGGGCCAGAACAATTGTTGTAAGATTATTACATGTAAAGACCACACACTCAATGAAACTCATGTATGTGCTCCTTCTTGATGTCATATATGCTCAACCAAATCCTTTTAGAATGTTTCATGGCTTGATGGAGCTTGAACCCTATTAAGAGGTCTCATGTACTCGGGTATTATATGTGGTAGCACCTAGATGTTCGCATGTAGTAACATCTACATTGCCATGCTTTGCCTTCTTCTGTTAGCCATTGATGAGAGACGGATGATTTTGAGGGGAAAAAAAAATATGGATGATTGAAGAATATGGTGTGTAGGTTTGATTTTCAACCACTTCTTACATAGAGGAAGATGGTGGTGATGGATGGATGTGTTTCAAGTGTTCCCCATTGTTAGAAGGGCTATTCATACGTGTTCCATGATTTTCATGTTTCATGTATTTCATTTGTATTCCATGTTTACTGATTTTTCATTCTTATCGAAATTTAAATATTTTTAGGTTAAATTGGTACTTATTAAATTATTTTTGGTTGATAGTTTGTTTAATTGTTTATGTTAATTTTTTGAGTAAAACTAAATAAACTAAATTTGCAACCTAAATGATAATCATCAATAAGAAATAAACACGTTAATAAACACTTAAGTACTAATCGAGTCATTAACATCCATGTCATTTAATTTACAAAATTTCTACACATTTAGTCTCCCTAACACTACTGTTATTTTTTGGATTTGCCATTGCTCCCCTTGTTTTCTCCAAACAAAAGAGACTTCTAATACAGTTTTAGTCGCATCACTCATTCCGCATGATTTCTTTAGTTACCAGAAAACTTCTTTCGTGATACATGACTAATTGCATAAAGCTAATATTGTTATAAATAGGGAAAAGTGAGAGAGAAATAACCTTAGCTAGAGAGAGAAGTGAAAAAGGTGCAATGTATCACATTGTTTATTTTCGTAACTATATCGCACAAAAAGGTGCAACCGTGTAGGTAAAGAGAGGGGAGAAAGATTGATATTATTACTTTCACTCTTGATCTTGTGTGTTGTTATGAGGATATAACTCTGTATATTGAGGTTTTGATCCAACAACACCTTACATGCATGAAGAAAAAATTTTACCTCTCTAAGACTTTTTCATCTAAAATTTTCAATGGTTGTCACCAAAGTCTATTTTAGTTTGCTTCCTCATACAATCATATGTATGGCATTGACACTTTATTTCACAACACTCCCTCTCAGATGCCCACATATCAACATCAGTTGCCTCATTAAAACCTTACAAGGAAAAAACTAGTGGGAAAAAATCGTAGCGAAGGAAAAAGAGTACAACTTTACTTGGATTATTGATATAGTGTTAAGTATGCTTATGTTGTCTTGTTAAAACCTTGATAGGAAAAATCTTAGCCAAAGGAAAAAGAATACAACATGCATGTATCATGGACCAGCTTATGTTTGACTTCAATATATTTAGCCTTCTGAAGCTCATGTGTACTAAAAAACTTTGGAGATATGTGTTTAGTCTTATCGCCTTTGATGAATCTTTCCTTCATTTAAGCAATACATGCTGGATTATCTTCACAAATGATTTTGGAGTGTTTGTCTTTGATTATCTTCATGAATGATTTTAGAGTGTTTGTCTTCGAAGGTAGACCACATGAATTACAAATGTGATGGATCATTGATCTTAACCAAAAGCATTCACGATTGGCTTCATAGAGAGCAAGTATGTGCGAGTGATTGGAAGATGTACCAACTAATGTTTGCTTCATTGAGCGACCTAAGATTGTTGTATTTTCATAAGTGAACACATATGCAATTTATGAGCGGACTTTATACAGATCGGAGAGAACTAGCATCTGCATTTCCAACAAGATTCTGGTCATTTGTGGGTTTCTCGGCGTAGAGGAGGCCCATGCCTGTTGTCCCACGAAGGTATTGTAAAACATGTTTGACTCCATTCCAATGTCGTGGAGTAAAGCTATATCTTGCTAACAAGTTAACTGAAAAAAAACTATATCTAGTTTACTACATCGTGCTAAATACAATAAAGCACCTATTACACTTAGATATGGTACTTCTAGACCAAGGACCTTTTCATAATCTTCTTTTAGGCGGAATGGATCTTTCTTAATGTCAAGAGATCGAACAACCATTGGTGTGCTGTGTGGATAGGCTTTATCCATACCAAATCGCTTTAGGACATTTTCAATGTAAGCTAATTGATAGACCATAATTCCATTAGCAAAGTGCTCGATATGCAGGCCAAGACAATATTTTGTTTTTCTAAGGTCTTTCATTTCAAATTTGTTTTTCATATATTCTGCAGTTTTGTTGAGCTCTTCAAGAGTTCCAACTAAGTTCATGTCATTGAAATATACTGCCACTATAACGAATCCAGAGTTTAATTTCTTAATAAACATACAAGGACAAATGACATTGTTGGTATATCTTTTCTTGATTAAATACTCACTGAGACGATTATACCACATTCGTCCTGATTGTTTAAGCCCATATAATGATTTAATTTGAATTAGAGTATACCTCTTGTCGTTTGTTAGTCATTTCAAGCAACTTAAGTCATTCTGGGACTTTGATATAGATGTCAGTCTCTAATTCTTCCTATAGATATGTGGTGATGACATCCATAAGTAGCATATCGAGTTTTTCTGAAACTACCAAACTTATTAAGTAAGGGAACATGATTGCATCCATTACAGGTAAGTATGTCTCATTATAATCAATTTCACACAAACCTTGCGCGATGAGTCATGCTTTATATATTGCGATCTCATTTTTCTTATTGCACTTTCTTGTGAACACCCATTTGTAACCTATAGGGTTCACGCTAGGCGGGATTTGGACTGCTGGTTCAAAAACACTTCGTTTTTTTGAGGAATTTAATTCCACTTGGATTACATCTTTTCACTTATGCCAATTTTGTCTCTGTTTGCATTCAGCAATAGAGCGGGGCTCAATATTATCACATCAAATTAACAATCCACAAAACAAGCAGTAAAAATACCACTCGTTAAGGGTTCCAAATATCTAATAATAGATGGTGAATCAAAACCCATATAAATTTCCAGTCTACACTGAGGTCTCATTTTAGTATGTTGTGGCAGTGCAATAGGCACATAAATAGCACAACCAAAATTCCCAAACACGACTTGTACTAAGGAGTATTGATGGTTGACAAGTCTCAGTCGAACTAATGATGCATCATGTAAGATGACATGTCTCCATGCAGAAACTGGCAACTTTTGTTTCCATAAGCAGAGCACAAGCTATTAATTGAAGTCACTTGATAAATGCTTCTATTAAGCCATTTTGAGTTTGGACATGAGGAATAAAGTGTTCAATATCAATGTCAAGTGTCATGCAATAATCATCCAGTTTGAGACGTAAATTCACTAGCGTTATCAAGTCGAATTGACTTAATAGGATGATCTGGAACTATGCTCGTAATTTAATTATCTAAGCAAGAAGTCTCTCAAAAGCTACATTGCGAGTATACAAGGGACAAACATGTGATCATTGGGTAGATGCATCAACAAAAACCATAAATATCAAAATGGTCCACAAGGTGATTCAATAGGCCCTTAAATATCCCCTTCAATTCTTTGCAAAATGATGGGGATTAAACTACAATATAGCAATATGTCTGCTCAATAATGGATGCCCATTAGGGTTGGTAATGATCCTACACATCATCTGGATCCTGTATGACCTAGACGGTCATGTCAAAGCATGTAAATTTTTTAATCAATAAACTTCTAGTTCATGACATTATGTGCTTCAATTATCTTTATGTATGTATAATACAATTCACTCAATAAACCATGCAACTTCTCCAATGTACGTTGATAGGTATCATTAGAGTTAATACATAAATATTCCACATTATTTGCATTTCTCGTTTCAATGTGGTATCCATTTAAACGTATATCTTTAAAACTCAACAATTTTTTTGTAGATTAAGTAGTGTATAATGCATTTTGTATGGACAATATTGTTCCATTTGATAACATGACATGAGCTTTTCCTGAGCCTTTTACATCTAATTGGCTTGATATTGTTGTTACTTTTTCTTTTGTAAGCATTAGGTTTGAGAAATTTTTTCGATTTCAAAGTATAGTATGCGTGGTTGCGCAGGCTGTGTGAGACAAATATCTTCATCATTTTTCTTGTTTTGAGGACAAACATAATTTTTATCCATACTTTTTGAATTAAAAAATTAGGTTTAAAAACTATTTATTCATAATAAAATGAAATTGCATTGTCACTTTTATTGAATTGAAATACAAGCTTTAAACGACAAGTTCAGAAAAAGAGTAAATCTAACATAAAAAGTGATTTAATCGGACTGATATACTTTATTCCTCCTTCCTGTAACAAAGTTTGAAACATGCAGATGGGTTGTGTTCAATTGACCTGATAAATCGAACACTGGATCAGATACATCCATTGGATCAGCTTGGTCGATGAAATTAGTCTCGACATTCTTTCCTTTGAGGGAGGCTTGATAAAAGATCCACGAGATGTTTGGAGGTATGACAGGTACGTGCCCAATGCCCACTACCACCACACTTATGACATACTGCTTAAGGATTTCTAAGAGTGTTATTCATATGAGCTTTAATCTTGTGCCGATTTACATTTTTGAAGCTTGGGTTTGGATTATGCCTTGGACCTTGGTTGAAAATTGAACACCATGGTTCTTGCCCTTTCTATTCCATCGGCATCGCTTGTAGCCACATCCTCGTCTGTAATTATTGCCATGTGAAAATGTGGTGTTTGCTTCAAGAAAAGAGCATTCACTTATGGAAATGGCACCGATCTAGTTGGTCAGAATGATGATTTTTCATTAGAAGTTCATTGTTTTGTTCAACCACAAGGAGCACTAATATGAACTAGTTGTACTCTGTAAAACCGCGCGATCTATATTGCTGCTGCAGAAGCAAATTAAAGGCATGAAAAGTGTTGAATGTCTTTTCCAGCATGTCTGCTTCAGTGATATCCTCCCCACAAAGTTTCGTCTGAAAGCTAATTCTAAACATTACAAAGTTGTACTTACTGACCGTCTTAAAATCCTGGATTCTTAGGTGTATCCACTCATAATGGGCTCCTGGGAGAATCACCGTTATGTGGTGATATTATACATACATACATACATATATATATATATATATATATATTTCTCAATGCACTCCAAAGAGCCAGTTGGTCCTCGACCATCAAATATTTGCTCTTCAATCCTTTATGGATATGGCGACGAGTAAAGATCATAACTTTCGCTCAATCTTGGGAAGATACGCTATTTCTCTCCTTGATGGTGTCTCCAAGATTTCCTGCATCAAGATGGATCTTGGCATCCACAACCTAGGTAAGATAATTCTCTCGAGTGATGTCAAGGGCAAAACATAAAGCTTTGCCAAGTTTGCCATGCTTGCCATTTCTTTTTTTTTTTTTTCTGAAAGGAAAATGAGATGTATAAGAACTTGCAATAATATGAATTTTGGAGGAATGTAGTTTTAGACCTTTTGGTATACAAATTTTCCATTTTTGGACTTCATGCCAAAATAATAAGCACTTGAAACTTCAGGCTTAAGATTTTCATAATGTAGACATTAATTAAAAATTATTCATGATGAATGCGATTGTCCCACACTACTCTCATTAGAATAATATAGTGTATAATGGGCGATTGTACCTCACCATTTGAGTAGCAAGAAAACTAAATATGCAGTGCAGGATGGGCGATTATACCACACCCTCAAAAACTACAGTGCAAGATTAGTAATCAAGAGCTACACCAAATAAGAAATAAAAAATATAAGTAATTATTATTAAATTGAGGACTAGGAGAAGGCTTGTTGCTAGCAGCTTTTCATGGAGGAAAATTAGGACAGTAACCAAACGCAAAATGTGGAAGAGTCATGAAGTTTAGATAAGCATGGTAAAGTAAAATCCAACAGTTGCGAAGTTCATTAGTCGTTTGGTTACCATGTTATTTGTTTCAAAACCCTATTGGCATCTAAAGAAAATTATTATTTTTCTTAAGAAATCACCAACCCCTTTGTGGTAGTTTTATATATAACAGTCTTTTCTTTTAAATAAAATTGATAGGCATTCAGAGATGAAACTTAAGTGTATAAAGAATCACTTTGAAAAAATATCGGTGCTAGTTCAAGTTCAATAGTACCAAATGGCTAGATGAAGGATCCAGGTTTTTTGTGGATCAATTGAATGTGGGAGTTGAAGGTGAGAATGAGGACATTTGAAATGAGTTTTTGTGACGAGTGGACACACAAACACCTACCTACTGGTGTATTCTCCTTGTTCTTGCTCTTACATTCATATAAAGTGGATAATAAAAAAAAATTATTGTACTAACTCTTTATTTTTGTTCAAATATTGTACTAACTCTTAAATATTGAATTTATATATGCCAGGCATCACCACTTCGGATAATTCCCTTCATCAGCTGTGATAATTTTATTTGACTTTTTTTAAGAATTTTTTTATGCAATGAGATATATATTCAACTCTAAGGAGAGGGTAGATTAGGTTAGGTCAGACACTGAGTTAGTTACTAATTAGGTATCAAACTCACCACAAATATATTTCTCGTTATCTCCGAGACTTGTTAGTTTAATGATAATTTCCCAATGTACATATCTAGAAACTATCATAACCTTGACCCTTCTCATTGCTTAAAACTAAGATGATACAGGGAACAAACCCGCTAGAGCATTGCTTATCTGTTAATATATATGATATAATATGTGATTCAAATACATGCTTTCGTAAAGGCTATGTTGTGTTTGTGCAAATCTAAGTTTTCAAATAGGTTAATGCTGCTAAATATATTCCAGCCTAAAGAAAATTATTGGTCTGAGCCATTTACCATGTGACCTCAGACATTGATTTTGCCTTTGAATTAGAGATTCGTCTGTTGTACGCTTGTCGCATAAAATTAGCCTTTCAACGTATCTGCAAAAACAAAACACAAACGAAAAGCAAATCGTAACTTGTTCTTAAGAGAAATCAAAACATAAGGACAGGACTAAATTGCCTTACCTACTATGAGGATCTTCAAGTTCCTTCTTCACCTTTTCAGGGAGATTGGCTAATCTAATAAACGAAACCAAGACTCCCATGACCACTGCTATATCAAACTATCCTCCTTAATTATATGAATTGCAATTAAAATGAACATAAAAATCCTCTTTACAAGGTTATTGGAATTTCGAACATGTATGAATCAATTTATATAGAGAAGACAATTAAATTCATAATTTACAGAAAGGGGAGAAGATTACCAGAAAATTGAAGTATTTTCCCGAGAAACAAAGGGAGAGTGTTTGATAATTTGAACAACAGAGAGCAAACAAATAAATACAAGGCTAGAAAATCCCCAAATCGATTGAAAAAACACAAGACCATGCTGCCTAACCTAACCAAACAGTGCAAAAAGATTTGTAAAATAATTTTGGCCTCTCAATCACCACATGCCACCAGATATAAATGCAAGAAATAATAAAAAAAAAATTAAGATTTTAGTTCAAAATCCAAATGAAAAAGAGACTTATCTGAACATGCAACAGGGCATGGACGATCGGGAGTGAATCCCGGACCGAGGGACCATGCTCGGGCCTGTTCACCATCCCCATCCTTCCCTCTCTGTTTCTCTCCCCGAAATCCCGACTACCCATTCTCCTTCTCTCCCTGTCACCTTCCCAGTCACCGAATCAAACAATGGGGCACTGACATCCTAACCTCTTCCTCTCCCCCTCCCCTTCCCTCTCTCTCATTTCTGAACACTCACCCACTCCCACTGCGGCTCAGAGAGAAACGAAATGGACCCTCACCCTCTGCAACAACACCGGAAATCCCCATCCACTCCCTCAACCCAGACACCCCAACGCGGAATGACTAAAACACCCATGCCTTTTTAAATCCATCCGTTGGATTTGGAATGCAGAGAGGGCAAAAAGGGCATGCGGCTTCAGGCCTTGAACCTGTTCAATGGGCTGTGTCAGCCACTTCACAAACCAACACCCGAATCTCACGTTCGGCCCAAAAAACCCAAAATCAGATCAGTGGTAGAGTTGTAAATGTAGCAAAATCGAGCCATGAAGAGAAAGGGGGAGCCCAAACCCCAGCCCAACACAGATTTGGTGGCAGCAATGTGTAAATTAAGCAAAATCAAGGGGCACAAATTTGACTGTAGCTCCTCAACTTTAGAATAGAGAATAACTAAAAAATACACCCGCGCGTTGCGATGGGAACCAACTGTATCAGGCATAACTACATAAATAAGACACATTTAACCTGAATAAATTCAACACATGAGTTAATGAACAGAGGAACACATGAGTGAATAAGGTGAATAAAATAAGCAGCTTGACTTTTAATACATTCAATTGAGTTGACATGTAAAGACATTGCACAATTAGTAGGAAGAAATTGAACGTTCTTGATCACAAAGACATGGTGGCCAAAAAAGTTATGCTTCCATAAGAAACAAAAGCAACATACAGTTCACACATATTTTGCCCTTTTAATTAAGATGGCAAAATATGTGTCCTACATGGCAGGCACCTATTTCAGCAGTTAATAAAAAATATAGAAAGTGTTCAGTACTTGTTCAAGTAGCTAATTTTCCAAGCACAAATGCTCAAAGCCAAAAATATGCAGAAGCCTTGTTTCCATAAGAAACAGAAGAAACATAAGCAACATGCAATTCACACATATTTTGCCCCTGCAGTTAAGAAGACAAAATATATGTCCTGCAGGCTAAGTACCTATTTTAGTAGTTAACAAAAAATAGAAAAAGTGTTTTGTTCTTGTTTAAGCAGCTAAGTTGTCAAGCATAGATGTTCAAACCAAAAAACATGCAGAACTCCATGCAACACTGATCACGGAGATTGTGGTTGTTCCCTTTTTTCTGAGATTGGACATCTTCCACACTATGCAAAAAACATGTATAATAATTTAACAAACACTGCCGCCATGGATGCTATGTAGGTGTGCATGCGAAAAACAAATTATAATTTACCCATCCTTGATTTTTTTGGCTTAAGTTTTTGTCTTGAGCGAGGCAATTGGAACTTTGTCAGCGGGTTCAATTTTGGGGACGACCAGATTGTGAAATTCTCTTGCAATTCTGGCAGAATTGGTTGTGCCTATTTGCTCGCTGCAAGGTTTTTTTGCTGTGAATCAAGGCAAAATTTATAAGGTCAGAGATAAAAGTGATAGCCACGGAAAAGAGTGCGAAAGAGTGGTGCAAAAAGATTGGCTGAAAATTTTTCATGACTGGCAAAACATACACCCAAGAGAAGCAAGTATAATTAATAAGATTTACACATGAGAGCATTTATCGTGAGGAAAACTTCATCTATCAGATTTGTTCGCTTGATTAGGGAACAATGCTCTCTTTGATCACAATCCATCAAAGTGCATCCAACTCCAAGGCAAGACTAAGCAAACACACAAAATGTATAAAAACCCAAGAAAAGTAGAAGTGTAACAATATTGTTATGCATCTGTATTTATTCTCACAAATAACAAAAATAAGAATTTGATGATCTTGTTACTCAAGCTTCAAGGAAAAATGAAATAAAATTCAATGGTTAAAATTAATCCTTATGTAAATGTATTCCCAACATCTGTATCATTCAAGTACAACGAAATTCAATGGTTTCAACAAAATAAAAAAAATTCCTGATTGACTTGAGTTCAGGACATTCAAGTACAAGGTAATTGAAATATGTGCAAGAGATTCCATGAAAACATAACATACAAACAAAACTTAATTGAAAGTAGAAAGAAAAAGTTGGACATGAGAACCGAAACTATTATTTGTAAGGGGTATAGTTTACTCCTATTATCATACTTTCTTTCTCTCCTTGTCACAATCCCACCCACTGAATCGAAGATCCGCACGAATGGGTGACATCCTCACTCACAATTTTTCTCTTCTCTTCCTGTTGTATAAACACATTGTACCATAAAATGGCTCTACATGAGAGAGGGAGCGAGGGAAGAAAGAGAGTGTAGAGAGAGATAGAGAGCGCACATAGTCATAAATATTGAAACATCCCCACGTTACAAAAGCAGTAGTACAAGGTGAGCACTAATGATACCACACCAAGTACAAAAAGCTTATCACTCACCAGCTAATCTAGCTTGAAATGATAGGGAAAGAACCTTCACCGAGATCTTCAATCCACTGAGACAACCCAAATGAATAGAGAAAAACACAATTAATAAACACGGGGACAAAGAACCTGAGAAGCAGAAACAAACTTCTATGCACAAAGAATTTTGTGCAAGTAAACAAACATCCAGTTGTACTGAGACTTGAATGATCCATGTTTTCTAATATAACTTAAACCCAACCATGAATTTACAAAACATTTAGGTAGAATTATTAACATAACTCAAAAAAAAGACTCAACTTTGCAATTAAATTTCTTACATAACTTAAACTCGAAAAATTTAACTAATTAGATTCATCCACAAAATGGATTTTAACATAATCTCAAAGAGGTTCTTCTAACCAAGTAAACCATTAGTCAACAAAAAACATTTCGACAAAGCTCAATGAACGGGAACTTCAAAATAATCTCAGTTACGCACTTTTCCAAAACGAAGGAAAAATCTACTTTGTAACTTAACTTAATATATGAAACCACCAATTTAGTCACCTAAAATTCATAACCAACACAAAAAACAACTCCAAATCCTCAGGTTTACACATGTATGAGCCAAAGGTCAAGTTTTTACAAAACATTCATCCCACAACATGAAAAAGCAAGTCGAAAAATTTAAATTTTGTATAGAAATAAGCTAAAGGTTCAATTTTTACAGACATGGTCATTTTATACACAATAAGCATATATAAAAACATAAAACTGTACAAATTTTCATTACCTTCTCAACCAATACAAAGAACTCAATGGGTGCTGATGAATGAAAATAATTCAGAATTTTTTTTACATTTTAATTATTTTCTAAGTTTTTCATGGAGCCAAATTAAACTGACACGCTTAAAAATATAATTGATACATGTAAGGCTGGAGAATGCTTCCAAGGCCTTTTTCTTTTCTCTATCATTATGTAAATTCAATTTCACTGCTACCACCTTTTGCATAAAGAAAACAATTTTCAATTAACAAATTGTTTTGGGAGAGAAAATCAAAATTCATTAATACAAATACCAATACCGATTTCTAGGATTTTAGGGTTTTCTGTTACCCTTACAACTGAAAGCATAAAAATCCCAACCAAAACCCAACACCGATTTAACCATAAATGAAAGAAGAAATTAAAATCTAAATACACAGTCACAAATTAACGAATTGAAAACCCACAAAAAAAAATTAATAAAAAAAAAAATAGGCAACTGACCTTAAAACAAAGAACAAATACACATAACAGAGAGAAGAATACCCAAAATAAGAGAAAATGAAACAAATAATTATTTAAAATTCAAGCATGAAAGCTTTACAAAGATAAATAAAAATGTACATAACTAATTAGGCTTTGAACATGCAATCAGGGCACATTATTATATACCTAAAAATGGCAAGGAACTAGCTTCTTCCTCCCACGACTAGAATTTCTAAAATTTTCAAAGAAAGTAAATCCATTAGCAATTCAGAGAAATTCGAGGAACAAATCTGATTAAATTTTAGCCATATTAAGACTCCCAATATGACTATATTCAAACATTTTATAGACGAAAGGGCTGGGGAAGGCAGATTATAGCACTGTGAACGAAGAGATAAAGAGAGAGGCAACAAAGGTAAACATCACATGTCACAAACATCACTTGTTTTTTGAACCATCCCTACATGGTCAGGTGATACAAACCATACGAAAAATGATTTCCCCATGCTATTTTTTTTCACCATGCATATTCATGGTGAAACACATACGGTGCGATTTCTGCAACAACAAACAACAGGGTCATGAACACAGCAAACACAGGATCACTACTACAACAACAAACAATAGGGCCATGAACAAAAACGGGCAAAACACTTACGGTTTGATTTCTGCAGAGAGACTGTAAAACTAAAAGAGCAACACTGAAGGAAGATAAAACCAACTCCCATATAAATTAAGATGCTATCCAACATCCCTAGTCCTTAGCCCCGAATCCAATAGCCCAAATCCCGACAACACAAAAAATTATTACCTCCTTAAAAACATGTTCTTTCAAAAAGTTACGATGGCGTTTGGACATTAGGACTTCAGGGTCATCTGCAAACCAAAATCCATCATCAATATTAACATAGTGTTGAATCATAAAGAATTAAGAATTAAATTAAAGGGTCACAGCTAAATCACATTTTCTCCCCCTTTGTTTTACTGAAGGTGCAGTTTAACCATAAAAAGAAAAGGAAAAAGATAAGTTTTAAGGACAGGAGGATATTAAAACGGGAAATGAACACCAATGGGCCATTGTTTTTGTTCTTCGACCAAAATAAGACAAACCGACCATGCACATTTTGTGTACACCATGCACAAGGAAAACCCTGCGTACCATTCTTGAGATCTAAAAATGTTTTTGTTCTACTACCACGTGGTATGATTTTTTGTTGATGTAGAATTCCAGCCACCCTCGAGAACCTTTATGAGGCAAATGTTTTATAACCAGTTGATAGGAGCATATTTAGGCGACTTACTTAGCTTGTTTTCGTGCATCTATGTTGTTAATTCATAGTTGTTTTAGTAGTTTAAGCTATTTTCGATTGTTTTTAGGTCCTCATGGCAAAGGGAGCAAGAAAGTGCATTTTGAGGCTATTTGGAGCATTTTTGGGCATGGATTGGATAGCTTAATCATGGAGCAAAGAGGATGGACGAA